TCCTGTTGTCATGTCTTGACCACAGCTCTGACTTACATCTGGAATTGGGAGCCAACTTTGCAGTAGCTCCAGTAGTTATTGTGAAATGCATGGTTGTGTCTTCTGTTTCGAAATATTGTATATAGTCAGCAGAGCAAAGAATAGACAGCACACAAAGAGCATTATGAGAGGAAGTGCATGAATACACATTGATGTCTCATTTGCCTTCCTGTCTTACTGTCTTACTAACTGATACTGATGTTTCCAAGAGCACGTCAGCAATATAACATCATGAAGACGAAAATGCTCCTTTGTCCTCTTTCCAGCCTATCAGGTCAATTTGACTTGCAAATGGCATTAAGGAGTTCTGTCTAAGTAGCAGCTGCTTCAGTACTTACTTATGTTTCACCACTATCAGGAACTGTGGGCACAGCAACATTAACTGCTAAAGAAAAGAAGACTGTCTGTCTTTTCTCCTCCACCTCGTGCTGTTACCTCGTGCTGTTACTGGAACAGAGAATAACAAGTTATAAGAGCTAAAAAGGCCAATTAAAAAAATAAATTAATACATGTTAAAAAAAAATCTATTTTCACAGAGAGTGTAGAAGTCATTTGACCTCTTACCAGCCATATAAAAATTAAGGAGTCCCATTTGGCCGCTGAGTGTATATTAACATGCCAGAACCTTATTGATAGTGAATGATCTGGACATAATGCTTATAATATATAACTACTGATTAGTCATTCTAAATAAATTTGAAATGAACCAAACTGAATTAATATAAGTAAAGTATAAGGTCTCTCAGTCATTTTACTGAACTGTGCCTGACAGGGCCACACTGGTCTCCAGCTCTTAAACAAAGCCAAATCTCCTTTTTTTAGGGTGAAGAGGGAGCACAGCATGTTTTTATGTTGAAATGCGTGGGAGTTACGTCAAAGTGGGAAAGTCAACATCCACAGCATGCATTTTCTTAGAAGACATTAATGCCAACTTTGAGACTAACAGGCCACACCTCTGCAGGAGGACAAAGTATTCATTTTGTGTATAAACTTTTTTATCAAGCCAATAAATAAAAGTATCATAACAGTAACAGTAATAAAAAATCTCAAACATTTTATTAAAAAGTATTAATAATTTCAATCAAGAGTATAAGATGGACTAAACATTAGTTAAACTTCCAGGGAATCTGCTTCCTTTAAATAAAGGATTTGGATCCAGTTAGCATCCCAGCCACACTGCTGCCTTTATCCACATTTCTTATTATAAAACCACAGCACTTACACATCACCACATATCACGTTAGTGGTCTATACCTTCAGCTCATCCTTGAACCAAGAGATTTATAGCTTTGTTTTTTCTCTAACAAAGTCAGGCTCATAGAGGTATACCTTCTGAGGCCTCCAGTAGTGAGGGCTAGAAGGGCTCCAAGCCCATTGTTCCTTCACTGAGCTGGTTTCAGTCATGTACTGTTTATAAGATTGGGGAAACCTGCAGTCAGCTGAGACTGAAGAATCAACTTTTGAAAATTATCAAATAATTTCCTTTTAAGCATCACAAATACTTTATTAAAAGATCACAGTTTGTACAATGGAATGATCAATAATTTAATCAAACTCTTTACAGGTTGCCCAGTGTGATCTCCTCTGAAAGGACTATATCAAAACATACAAAGTTAAAGAATGACATATGCTACTAGTTAAAATACATGAATTTCAGATTTCTTCTGATCGTCACACAACATAATATATGTGTGGATTGTACTTGTTTCACGTTTTGTAATCCTGTAGATGCAATGCTGTGAGCTAATTTTTTAAACACTGTATTTCCATCGATCTTTTTAAATTTCTTAAGCTAATATAAAGGTACCGTGTGTAAGAAAGTACACTTTTTTCCCCAGTAAGAAAGGTCCAAGTATTTTTTTTTTTTAAATAATAGTTAAAAAACTGTTTAACAGTGTCATTCAGGATGATACTTGCAGTACAGGGGAGGGGCCTACACAGCAAATGTTCATCTGATTTGATTAGTAATCAAATGTATGCAAGTTCAGTGTTTGTGGCCAATGGGTTAGTGTTGATAAAACTTTAGAAGGGTATTGGTGGATTGTGGGCCAATAGGAGAACATGTACAAATTTAAAAAGGCCCACTTTCACACTGGTTCAGTCACTGAAGTAGAAGGTAGTAGTAAGGTCAGCAACAATGATGACTCATCTCACTTTTCTTCTTCTTCTTGTGCTGTGGGTTGGTGAGTATGTATTTCTTCAAATTTGTTACATATTTATATTAAAAACATGTTTTGGGCATGAGTCAATTACATATTTGTAATTACATAACTAATAGAATGCAGTTTCTGAGCTTCTTTGAATTTCTCTCTGTGCTGCTCAAATAGCACAGAGTGTCTTTTCAAACAGGTGTGTGCATTCAGACAGGTCTAGGCTGCATGAATAAGAATAATAATGCTGAATATGCATTTGTTTTGTTTCACTAACAAGTAACAGTTTGTCACTGCAGGTAACTCACCTGTTTTCATCTCCTAAGAGCAAACGTGCTGCTTATTAAACAACTGTTGTAACACAGTCCCTTGATGCCGGACCCTCTGTTTCAGGTGTCTCAGTGAGCACAGCGGTGAATCTGCAAAAGAGAATTTATAATGGAAAGGTCTGTGACAAAAGTGAGCGACTCTACCATGTCAGCCTGTCAGATATATCTGATGGAAAACCCGGTCACTGTGGTGGCTCTCTGATCAGTGACCAATGGGTTCTAACTGCAGCTCACTGCAAGGAGGATCCAATGTGAGAAAAAAAACCTGTTTTCACTGAAAATGTTACCATGATATTTATATATAATTCTGCAAACCTTTAATTTGAAAACTGTGCTGTAGTTGACATGTCATTATTGACAAATGTTTTCCTATAAATTAGTGCTTTTAGGTGTTGCTTCACCTCTGTGATTATGAGCCAGCAAGTCCATGCAATTATCTATACAGATAAACAAATTATGTTAAACTTGCAGGTGAATGTTGTTATCATTCCTTACAGGTATGCAGTTCTAGGTGTGCATCCAGGTCCAGGAATCGCAGTGGAAATTCACAAAAATGACATAATTCCACATCCACATGATGACATCATGCTCCTGAAGTTACCAAAACCTGTTACTGATATTAAAGCTGTTGCTCATATTAAACATGTTGATCTTCCTACATGCAAGGATAACAACAATAACCTTAACAAAAAGCCTCAAGAGTGAGTTAAGGTTCTTTTAATCCTTTTAAATCTTAGAAGTTACATCTATGATATATGGTGAATGTTAGAAAAAATATAACTATGGTATACAGACTGAGGCAGTAAAAGGAAATTGATAATGTAATTTTTGAACCCTAAAATGAAAATTACTGAGTAAATGTGAATGGACAATACTAACCTTCAGACTCCACTTTTTCATTTATTTTGTCCTCAGTACACATGGATAGATATGGAATTACTTCACGTTTTTTTCTTTGTCTTTTTCTAGAGCGGATGAAGTTCAACTTGCAGGCCATGGTTGTCATAGAATAAATAAAGTGACAAAGGAGAAACGTATGGCCAATGTTGTTTGATTACTTTACAGTTTCACACCTTATGTTAGAATTTGACTTTAACATTTTTATTTAGAAACTGTGATGACATATGGCATTTTTTTTAACTATGAATTGAATGAATTTATGATAGTTTCCCTTGATTTCACATCTCTCAGCTTCTTTTGAAGAATACATTTTGTTTGAATACCAGTTGAAATAAGGCAAAATGTCATTCTTTAAGGATTTGATTTCATGAGTGTATCATGAAATGCTATTAACTACTTTTTTCCTTTTCCCTAGTTCCCATTTACCCAAAGGATCTTCAGTGTGCACTTATGTATGTTGTTCCCTGTAATGACATCACAATTGATAGGTGTTATTCAAAGCTGCCATATGAAGCTCCAATAGACAAAAGAGTGTGTTATGAAGAAGCTGATGTGGATACATGTGGGGTGAGTTGGAATGACTTCTAACGTTACTTTATGTCTGCTGTGTAGTATTGAGTTATGTTTTAGAATAAAATTGTAACATAAACTATATTTTTCTCTCTCAGGGTGATTCTGGTGGTGGAGTGATATATGACAAAAAGATATATGCTGTACATGTTGGTTCTGGTAAATATGCTTGTAAATTTCCAGCTGTTTCCTTGAGGGTCTGTTCTTACATTGACTGGATAAACCAGACAATTCATACAAAAAATAATGGAAAATAACTGAATGAAAATAACATTCAGAATAAACAATCATCTCTACATGAAACTTGTGTGCTGTGTGTGGTTTCTACTCTAGAACATCTACAAACTACAAAAACATAAAATAAAAACCTTGTACTAATATCTACTTCCCCACCTTCTGTCACATAAACGTAAAGTTTATTGTGGCAACAGAAGATCTGCTGAGATTGGATTCTTCACTTTGTCCTACTTCCTCCAATCACATAAAAATACAAATGAAATAAAATGTATAGTACATGATCACATATTTATATCTCATAATACGTTTAATTTAATTTCCAACTTATTTTCAGTCCTTCATTTTTATATTTCTAAGATCGAAATGAAAAGTAAACATTTCATATTGACAAAGCTCAGAAACACTATTGCTCCACCAGGTGTCGCTGTTACACAAAACTATTTCATTGTGACGCCTCTCTTGTGTAAACACTGTTTTAACAAATGTTTAATCCTGCCATAACTACTCTAATGAACAATAAACAGAGCGTTTTACACCCCATCAAAGCTCTGTAATATATTGTTTTCTGTGTATTGCTTTTTTTTATCACTTGTTATTTTTAGCCCTGAGAACATTAAAAGAAATTTAACATGAGAAAGAGCAGACATTCACTATTTGAGAATAGATTTTAGGATTTCATTATGATTCATTTTCACTATGAGGCAGTGCTTTCAAATTTCTTTTGAAGTAGTACAGAGATGTTTTATTAAATCCTAAATAAAACAATTTCTTTTAATTTGCATTAATATTTTCCTACTGAGCAGTAAAAGCACGCCGAGCTCCAAGACTTTTAACATGAAGCATCAACATGATGTTTAAATGTTGTTTAGTATTAAAATAAGAGACTAGAGTGACTTATTTTGAACACTTCAGTTTTCTCTCTTGATGCTGCTGTTTGTTTCCTCCTCCACTTGTATTTTTCTTGACGTCAGTGAATGTGCATAGCGCCCTCTGTTGTATGTTTGAGAGAACTGCACTGCATTGTCATCAAATGCAACTGTGCAGAGGTGGAACATGCGCAAAGTAAGCTCATGAAGTGAAGAAGCTTCTTGGATCAGAAGTTAAACATTATCAAGAAACTAAAAGAAGTGAAGTCACTTTCTTTCCTGGTTCTTTAGACGACCATGACGTGGATGACTGAGAACCTACAAACACAAATGAGCAGCAGTTTATTTAATGTGAACCCTACTTCAGCCAATCAGCAGTCTTCATTTGTTTCAGCATTAAACACACAACCACACCTTAGAGAGAGGTGAGAGATCCGCACACAGTCACACATGAGAAGAGCCACAAATGTAAACTAACATCACACATGATCAGTGTTGGGTAAGTTAC